CGCTTTTCTTTGTGTGCCCATTTTGCCTAAAGCCAATCAGCGAGCAAAGCACGTTTTTTATTCATCAGGTAGCCAAATCTTTTCCTAATTTTTCATATCTCCAATTTTTTTAAACAATTGTAGGATCATTGCCCTCGCATAACTCCTCCCGGTAGAGAGATTTATCGGGATGCCGCGGGTTTGCTGTCTTTTTTCGAGGTTGATGGTGCTGAAGAACGGGTAGATGATGTTGTTCTTAGAACTGGAGTGGTTATAACTAAATAAGAGTCATTCAGACCTACTGTCGCAACCTTTGCCTCCTTGCTATGCAGTTTTTGGCGTGGAAGACAAGGTTTAGCGAAATTGCAACTTTTCTGTTCTATGTCCTTACGCGAAATGACGAGGATGGCTGCAGAATAGTCGGATATTTCTCAAAGGTGAGCTCTGCTTTGATATCTACATTTTTGTTCGCAAAGTCACTTTACTTCTTCCTTGATAGAAATAAATGATTTTTCTAGGAGAAAAATCCTAGCAGAAATTACAACTTGTCTTGTTTGTTGACCCTCCCTAGCGAGCAGCGAAATGGTTACGGGCAGCTACTAATTGATATGAGTAAGCTTTGAATGCAATTATTTTTAATCATTCCCTTCCTCTACATAAATCGAAGACCTTGGGAAGTTAGTCTCTTATAATTTTGTTTGAATTTCGGTTAGATTTTTTTTTATAGAACTCCCTAACTTTTTAGGTTATCAACTGTCCAGAATGGAAAGAAAAGTAGGAGGTCCGGAGCGGCCCTTGTCTGATCGCGGCCTTCTTACCTACAGAAAATACTGGAGATCAAGTATACTATGCTACCTGAGGTACGTCTTGATCTTTCATCCTGTTTTTGGCTTTTTTTTCGGCAGAAGTTAGAGTCTGTTGGTTTTTGTTCATGCAATCCCTACATCTCCATTGCATACTTTTTCTTCCTATGACAGTTAATCTGCTTTGTTTACTTTAGGTCGACGCGAGATTGTCATAGTATTTCGCTAAAAAATATGAGTCTTGCTACTCGTATTCATCCAACAGATATTGTTAACCAGTTGTTGCATGATAATTTGTTGATAATGAAGGACGAGAACTACTTCTTCAGGACGTGGGTAAGCTAGCTTTACTTGCAGTGCTTATCTTCCATTTATTCAAAAAAAAATCCAGCTTTGTATGCTTTGAATACCTGATTCGATGATTGAATGATTATATATGACAAATGAATCAGTTGAACAAATGAAGCGACTGTTCGTCGATTTTCCAGAAACGCGCCTACAAACTACCGCTGTCAATGCT